TTTTTAAAATGAATAAACTCTCGCATGGCACTGACATTGTGTCAGGGACTTTAGAAGCATTAACTTAATGCTCAGCCAATTAGGACACGGAGAACAGAAGGCTAAGTCACTGATTCAAGGTCACAGAGCTGCTCAGGCAGAAGACCCTGAATGCCCTCCAGCCCCAAAGGTCACTTTCTGAGTCAGCAGGTTAAGCCGATGATGAGACCCTGATATACGGGGGAGGGGGTGGAGAGGAGATGCCAACGACTGTATGTACATTATATTCTAACTGTTCCCATGTGAGAGCCAGACATGAGGACACTAGTCTGTGTGACGGGAGAGTTCTGGGCATTTTGGGAAGAGAAATGTCGCTTCCCCTCCTGGAGACCCCGCACCCCTTGGGGTGAGTAGCTGAGGCTTTCCCTCCGCAGGCCCCTTCTTCTCCTGTGCGAAGCCCTGGCAGGTGGCTGTGGGGGTGACTCTCCTGGCTCTGTTTGGAACCCTGGTCGGGGCGGTATTCTTCTGGCGACAATACAAGAAAATCTGGGCCTTGAGCCATGAGAAGGAGAGCGAGCGAGCTGAGAAAGAAGCAGCACAGGGGAAGGAGCAACAAGAGCGAAGCGCCAAAGGTGAGGCCTGGCTGCAGGTGGGTGGGTCCCTCGCCCCAGGTCGCCCACCCACAGCACGGGTCCCCCCTTCCGTCCCCATGACAGCACCTTCTCTTTCTGCTTATTTCCAGAGACGCTGGAGTTGTTGCTCAGTAAGTCCTGATCCCCCACCAAGCGGGTTCTGGGGTCCCTGGTAACCCGCTCACCGACCCCTCCCGTTTCCCCTGCAGGGTGGACAAAGCAGCAGATCATAGCGGGTGAGTACCTAGACCTGGACCTGGACCCACATCTGAGACTCTCTGCTGGGACCTGTCCAGCCCCTTCCTCACCCCTGACCGCCCAGGGGAAGGAATGAGGACGCTGATGGGGGAGGTCAGCAGGGTTTCCTCCCTATAGAAAGGGGTCAGGCTCCCTCCACCAGGCTGCTCACACCCGGATGTCCAGGGAACCCCAGAAAGGAGAGGGGAGATGGATTCATGATGTGAGTCCTCCCTCCCTGGCTGCTCTACACAATCTATAGGCTGCTGAGAGGAAACCAGAAGGAGAAAGAACATTCTCTTCTAAGGAGGAGGGATTGGTGTCAGCTGTCCCAGATTTATCATAACTGCTGAAAAGTAGTGCCTGAAATTTTCTCATTAAGTCACCCAATTCTTTTTGGAAATAGGCAGGAAATCATGCAGATTGAGTAGATGGGTTCTAGCACATATATGCATACACGTATGCACACGAGAAGCCTATGCCAGGTACAGGAGTAAGACAGTCACTTTGTATGCCAGGAGCATGGGATCCAAGACCCAGTGGGTGCCTGGCCCATGGATAGCACCACACCCTGTGTATAGTAGGTTTCTCCTTCTCACTTAAAGGAAGGCTTCTCATTGCCACACCCCAATGGGTCATTGCAATGATGGGTCATTGTTAAGTAACATCAGGGGACTTTCACACAAGCCCTGTGATGCTGAGGCAGATCTGACCACAGAGCCGGCTCCTCAGTGACTAAGTGGCTCATGAGAGGGACACAGGGTGGACGTGCTGGGCACAGTGATGGTTCTCAGGTTGGCATGTGAGAGACGGATGGCACAGGTGTCATCACACTGCTCAGAATGATGTGCAATTTAACACTTATGAATTGCTTATTTCTGGAATTTTCCATTTAATATTTTCCAACTGTGGGTGACAGAGGGTAACTGAAACTTCAGAAAGTGAAACGATGGTTAAAGGTGACTGCTGTACAGACACGTACAGGACAGACCTGCAGGTGCAGCTGGGAAAGCCCCACTCGGTGCCTGCAGGTCACTAGGTGCCGGTGACTTTAAAGAGGAGGAGGGAGCAGGGAACTGAACAGGCAGATGGAGCGAGAGGTGGGGGGTCAAAAGGGAGAGAGAGGAAAGGACTCAGAAATGACGGTTGAGGTGACCCTGCCTGTCTTCCTTTGCAGGTGACAGGTCTCAGGCCTATGCTGGTGAGTGACTCATGCTCTCTGGTTCCTGCACTTGTGTACAAAACCCTTAAACCCTTTCTGTGCTGGTGAGGAA